ATGGCGACTGCTGACTTCTGGGGTGCAGGGATAGATGAGGCAATGAGTACGTAGGGATAATCATAGTACAACTACTAGTAATAACAGTAGCAATAGTACTAATAGCAATAACAGTACAACTAGTAATAACAGTAGCAATAGTACTAATAGCAATAACAGTAATAGGCATGATGACAATCACCGTAAGACGAGCAAGTAAGTTTGGATGCTATGCTCATCGATCAGGCTCGCTTGGGATAACGGACAGCACCTGCGACTGTCTCCCCAACTCTGCTTTCTGCGCTTGGAAGCGTAAAGATAGTATTGATTGAGAACAGCCCCGCTCAGTAACAGCTGGATACTAAGTATAAAATGGCCCCGTTTCTGGGGGGTCGGGGCAGGCGAGGGGGATGGTTGACGTTTTTCAAACTGGGGATTAGTCAGAGGAGCGTTTGGAAGTTTCGGGTTTTCTTGCTTGCGGGCCGTCGGCGCGGCCATTATGAACATGGAGCTCCAAATCATCCCTCACACTAGGCCACTGGGTCTGGGATGTCTTGGGGGTTGATTTCAGTGGAGGTGTTTAACAGCTACCCCTTCGTGGAGTGTTTGCCGAATTCTGTCTTCATGTATGATCTCAGTCGGAGACCTCCGGAATCCGACATTTCTGACCCTGAAGGAAAGGATCTCTAAGGTTAGAAGTATGGGCCCAGCGGCCTTTTAGGTGGATTCTGGGACCTTGGATAATGGGCCCTTACTAGGGGCCCATGGTTTTCAAAATTAGAGTATGCGTAAGGTAGGGTTTAGGGCTTAGGTTTTGGGTCATTCTAGTACCCCATACATACATCCCAAGAGCTTAATATTAAACACCCCTACCCCCCCCCCCCCAATCATTAACTACTCCTTAGGAGGACCCCCCCCCACCCTGTCATGGTGACTAAAGGGGACAATAAGGATTACATTAAGGCCCTCTTATATTCCTAATATACCACTATTACAGGGTGGGGGTCCTCCTAAACTACTCCCATTATGTGGTATATCATATACAATGTATTGGGAGTATTTGATACTGGGGGTGGGTGGGGAGTCTTAATATAAGGAGCAGGAGGGGATTAGTGTGTATCCCTTGATTCCGGGGCATCGGGTTCTTTGCGTACCCCATCTTCTTGAACTCCCTAACTCCAGACTCCCTTCCTGGACCTGTAAATATCGTTTCTGCGTTGGACCTGGAGTTCCAGGACTAAATAGGCAGGTTACGAGATACGAGTGTACAGATAAAGGACTGCAGAATAGTACCTGGTCGTAACTTGGGCTTTGCCCCAGTCAAGTTTTGTATCCGTATGTAACTCCAAACCCTGCCGGCCTTCATCCATGATTGCGGATGCTGAGGATGAAAACAATTACGTCTGGGACTGGCCAGATTTGAGCCATGAAAATTTCAGGAGGGTAGGGCTCAGGGTTTAAGGGTTTAGGGTTTGGGGTTTAGGGTTTAGGGTTTACGGCTTAGGGCTAGGGTTTCGAGTTTTGGTCTTTGCGTAGGCCTTCGAAAGTTGACGTCCACCTCAAGGATATGTAGCCCGCAACCCCTAAACCCTGAACACTAAAGCCTGCTGGGAAGCCCAGAGCGGTTAGGGTTTCGGGTTTAGGGATCTTGAAGCCATCCTCAGATTTTGGAGGTAGCTGTAGATCCGGAGAAATGTGCTGGCGCAAAAATGCTTTGTCAGCGTCAAACAATGAAGGATCCCAATTTTCGAGGTTTCCAGGAAACAGGGGTCTAATCTTTGAGCCTCTATAAACTCGATCATCGTATTTTTCTTGTTCATGAGGGTGCCCTTGCTGGAGGAGACTCTGTTTCTTAAAATAGAAGAAAAAGGAGGGAGGTGGACAAGCACATGGAGGCTCCGCTAAAGGCTACACCAGGGTGTGGGTTCATGTTTGCAGATTGTGGATGTTTACTCTCAGGTGGATGGGCGGCGGCTCTTGTTCATGGAGCTGACCGGATGTCCGATGTGCCCACTGATCTTGGGCAATGGGCTTACTTGAGCTATAGTCTAAACTCCTAGTATCCCCTTTAATAACCCCTATAGTAGTGCCCTATATAATCCCCTATGTAACCCCCTTTAAGGAGTTTAGACTATGGCTCACTTGGTCTCTGAAAGGCATTGGCTTGAGAGTTGAAGGGTGGGGGATTATAGGGTTTATATAGGGATTATAGGGGATATATTGCGGTAATATGGGGATAATGGAAAATAAAATGGAAACTACTATAAGGCATTTTCGAATCTTAGTTTGACGCTGTCACTGGGGTTTGTAGTTGATGACCCAGGCAACCTAAACCAAACTGATTCCTGTCAACCCGAAAGCCTTGGGAGGCATGCTAGAAAACGCTAGTGTTTACCCATGATGATAATAGTAGCAGCACAAATCAGTATTGTACCAGACTTTTGGATATTACCCGGTTATAATTTGTGTTCTTCCCTACCTAGCCTCAACTAGCCTTTCTTGAGCCCCTGCGAACCAGGTTGCTGTTTAGCGTTTAGAGCAAGATTCTGTGTCAGTCCCTGAGCCCAGGGCTCATCGCGTTTAGGGCTCAGGCTTAGGGTCTTAAACCCTATCAGACCAGGATGAAAATCAGGGACCTTCTCTTCAGGTATATGATGCGTTCCTAAAATTTGCGGGCCCCTACTGGGAGTTCACAAAGTAATCAGAATTGTTATAGAATGCTAGAGTCCATGTTGGCGCACCTTATCAATCGAAACATCCATATACTTTCAGGCTACATACTTGTGTGTAGTGCTTCTCCATGCTTGGCTGGCCGTTGACCACCCTATTCAGAGCACGGACCGGTGTCTGTATGTCCGTATCCAGTGAACTGACAGGTACAGTAGAGGTTTCCCGAAAATGCCAGCAGAACACTCCTGAACTGGCAAGCATGCTCTTCTGGCCAACTGACAGTACAAAACTAGGATGCGTCCGGTTTGTTGCATCGGCTTTTTTTCATATAAGCCAAGGCTATTAGCATACTGGTTCTTAGTAGCGAACAAAGGAATACACTCCCTATATAATATATTCCCATATTCCCTACTGAGCCCCAGTAAGTAAGTATGCTTAAGCTATCCAACCCTTAGTTCTCTGCGGCCTTGTCGTGCAGTGGACCCATTTGAAGATAAACCCCGAAGTCTTGCACCGCACGTTTTGCGGACTTAGCTTCGGAAGCCCTAACACCCATGGCAGGAAGATTAGACGCGCACGACAAGCAAAAACAATATCAGCAATACTCACCTTGAAGCTCTAGACTTTGGTCCTGACATGGAATCAGATCTCTGAAGCTTCGAGCCCTGAAGCTAAATCCGAAACTCTGAAAACTAAACTCCCAAGGCCATACCCCAAGCTTAGGAGGACCCCCACCCTGTAATAGTGGTCTAATAGGAAGGAGGACCCTAACATAGCTACTATTATCCCATATAGTCACTATTGCTGGGTGGGGGGTCTACCATACCAAGGCCCAAGATAGCAGGAAGCTCAGAGCCAAAGGAGCGCCAACATCATTTCCGCCGAGGTCCACAATGCGGTTTCTGTACTAGCCCGCGTGGCCACTTCAGCTTGCTAAGGTGTATTTTGGGGTTTGAGGCATATGGGTGGTTGTCAAAATTATGGCCCCTTTTTGGATCCCTATTATGATACGGCACCTAATATTTAGGGTACCCAAAAAGGGACCATAATTTTGACAACCACCCATATGAGGGAGCTGTAGCGAGTATTCTGGCTGTTGCGAGGATGTATCTTTCCAAGGCGCAGGCCTGAGCTCCCGACGAACTTTAGCCTACTACATGCGCCGCTGCGAGGTGATGTAACAGGTCCAAGATTTAAGACATGGTCGCTGCTCCTTCTTCAGTATGGCTCAATATGAAGGCATCACCTCAATGGTCTCAAACCCAGATTTGACCGCGACTGTCTGTAAATCTCTCTCAAAGCTTCATGCCTTTTGGTGTAGGGTTTAGGGTGTTGGGCAGTTCTCCAACATGGGCCCAGATGTGTCAGTCCCAGTTTTTATCTTTGTCTGAGCAGGGCCCTGGATTTTCGCAACTTCCAGTTTGGCATACCTTCACTTACTGCGGCTTGGTAGGGAATATGGGAATAGATCATATAAGGGATGATATAGGGACTATATTCCCTTATCTTATCCTCTACTGAGAAGCAGTAAGTAGGGGAAGCCCTGGTCGGCTCAGCTGAAGAGCCGACGCTGAAGGTTGAGGTAGTTTGCCTCCTACAAGAAAGCCCTCATGATTAAAGGTTCCAGGAGCTGGTCTTCGCTTCGTTTCCTCAGTGTGTAAAATCTACGTCACGGAATCGTCTGTGTCTAAGTAGACAATAGGAATTCAACTGAAAGTTTTGTAGAGGCCAAGTAAGCTTGGATGCCGGGTTAATGCTTTGGAGGCGGTTGGGTGACTTGCGTTGGGGCCCCCGACCGGCCTAAGGGGACGAAAGCCATTGTGAAACTGGAACGGGCTTGTGCCGTGCTACTCAGACTCAAAAGAACACAAAAGGGCATGCTGGAGATACCCCATCACTCCCAGAATCAACATACGAAAGTTTGGGGGTACTAGTGAAGAGTTGAGTCCCGGCATGAAACCATCCTCCCTTCTAAAAGGAGCCCATGGCCTACAACTTCTAACAAAGCTCATCATCTTTCAAACATGTAGAGATTCCGTGAAACGTCACCAGTAAATGTTGTATGCGGACCTTGCCCGGCCAGCGGGGAGTCTCAAAAGATGTGGAGAGCTTCAGGGTTTAGGATGGACAGTGGAATGAGAGATGTATCCAGAGACTGCAAAATGAGAGATGTATCCAGAGACTGCAAAACCGTTGCGGGATTCGAGACGTGCAGGCTACATAACTTGGTGGGAACATTGGCAACCTTATACACAAGCTGTAAAGGCTACGTCTTACTCCATCTACCCTGAACTGAACCCTTACATGATTACATAAACTTGACACCGAAACACCTTTTTTTGATTCCCCGGCTACGGCTCATCTACCTCGAGCACCTCGAGGGTTTTCATCCACGGCACGCTCAGGACAATCACTTTGCTGCCGTCCTCGAACATAAACTTGTACCTCGGCTTGTTGTTTGAGGCTGCAGGGCTTGTCGCTGCAGACAAGGTAGTCGAAACGATCTGTTGGATGAGTTCTTCCAGTAGTAGCACGCGCAGCTGCAGCAACTACAACGTAAAGCATGCACGGGCCTGGGCTTCTTGCTTTTAGATTTACATCGGTGCGGCGGCAATCCCAGAATGTGAGTCTACCTGCGCCTGCTTCTTGCGATGGCTACGCACATGCTGGGATGCCGGGATTCCTTCGCCAATGGCTTTTTTCAGTTGGATTGTAGGGTTAAGGTTTGATTTGAGTTCTTGGAGAGAACCTGACCATCTGCGCGAGAACAGCTACCTTCAGTAGGCAAGGCCAAAACCCAAGTAGCAAATCGAGTTGCCTACTGCATAACTCACGCGCGCAGAGCAACGTGCACAAACACACGCACAGAGAGAGAGAGAGAGATGTATGTATATCTATATATATATATATATACATTCGTTCACGAGCAACTACAAAGGCTCCAAACCCCAAACCCCAAAACGAACATTGCGAGGTACCACAGTGGGCATGGACCCTCTGACATGCGGTTCCAAAAAAGGGGGCTTACCTTCGGGACCTTAGGGAAACATTGGGGCTACAGAGCATCATTGGCCATAGGGGTCCGCGGACAGATTCTATGAGGATCTTTTTGATGGAGCCGCTTCTGTGACTTTCTGTGACTGCTCTGGCAACAGGCAAGCGACTTGATACCCGCGACTACCTGCGAAGACACCGTCGCCGGCGTCCTTGTACCGAGCAGGTCTAGGACTCCTTTGTTTGGGTGGGGTGACTTGTTCGATCGCAAAGATTTGAGACGCTACTACAAGTCTAGATACCAAAACAAGACTACAGTGCAAGGTGTAGGCAGTGTTTTGGACTTGGGGGTGTTGGGGCTTGTTTCTTAGTTGAGATTGGAGGTACTAGCGCTTTAGGATGTAGCATCCTGGCTTGCAGAGGGGTCCGTGCAAGCCCTTGGCTAGTTAAGGATTCAGATGTGGGAGTTGGTCGGGTTCCTGTATGGAAGCTGGAAGATGCCAAACAAAGCAAGCCAATCTTAGACCTCTGATGTGCGCGGCCGCTAGTTTGTCAACCTCCTGCCGCTCCTTGTTCATCCTTGTATCGTTATGCAGACGTTTTAGCAAAGCTGACCCAGACCCTAAAGTATTGCTTTCAACCCTAAACCCTAAACCCCTAACCCCTAAATGCTCCGGCAGCAGTAGTTGCAAAAATCATGCCGCAGGCCATACCACTCAAAACCTGAGCAATCCCATGGATTCCAATCTTACCAGCATGGCCCCATGTAACTTGTAATAGGCCTAGATTCATAGATCTTTTCTGGGGGGGTCTGGGTGTGGGCTCTGAAGGTCTCCCTAGAATTGCCAAGAGGATTCCCCCTTTGAAAACAAACAGGGAACCGAACTTTCATTTGGGGAGGAGATACGGTCTGGAGCAGCCAGGACGCCCTTTGCTTGCCAAGTCCGTGTTGACGCTGGTCACTACCTGCGCAGCATGGAGGGATCACTGACCAGTACATAGTAGCTTCCATTTTCTCTTCCACTATTCCCATATAACTCCTAATACACTATAATATACTAATAATATACAGTAATCCTAACCACCCCTGGTGTTGGTTCAGGGCTTAGGATTTAGTAGTTTCTGTGTCAAGCCAAGTCAGTAGGCATATACTCTGTACACGTGTGAAGGAAAAGCTCGGGGGCTCAAAGGAGAGAGCCCCTTTGGGGTAATGTTGGGGTTTTAATGGGGTCATACTAGTTAAAATGGAGAATCGAAGGGAAAATGACATGGAAACTGGGATTTAGGGGCTTGGAGGTTTAGGAAGTCCAGAATCCTGGCCCCAGGGAGAACCATAGGGGTTTTATATGATTCTCTATCCAACTGTTACTGAATGGGGGCCGGATCCAAAGTAACCCTTACCCCAAACCCTAAAGCCGTAAATCCCCAACCCCCAACCACCATCTTACAGGGACTCCGTAGGATGGGCTGGCCATGTTTCCGCTTTCTAAGCTTCCTGCTTCTTTGTTGGCTTCTGAGCGCCCCTGGACGTCCTTGGATCCAAAAACCCCAGGGCTGCGAATGGCTCTTCTTAACCCCTAAGCTCCGAGCTAGTGTGAATATAGATCGAAAGTAGGGGTTCTTAACAAGAAGACCTTCAACAGTCCAACCCAAGGGGTGCAAGCTAACACCTGCCTAATGTAGCTTGGACTGCTGTTAGTAGTTCTTTAGATTGTGCCATGGCAAACCCTGAAACTGAAACTCAAAACATGTCAAAACGCAAAACCGCAACCCCCAAAAACATGACACCCCCAAGCCGAACACCTGCACTACTTCCGCCCCATCCCCAATCCATTGTCCTAATACGCTCCTTCATGTTGTCATTGGTGGTGTTGGCGTCGCTGTTGGTGTTGTCGGCGTTGGTGTTGTTGCTAATGTTGTTGTCGTTGTTCTTGCTCTTGTTATTGCAGCTGGAGCACTCAGTTAGAGCTGCATCTGCCAAGTCAAGACGGCTAGGCTCCCGGTAAGGAGGCCTGTTGGCATCCTATGCTATCCACGTCTGAGACCGTGCCCGAACCATGGAGATAGCACAGATCCAGAAAGAGCAACCAAACATTGCCTATGTGCTGAGCGTTCTTCACAGATTTTCACAGATTGCAAGCACCACAGCTAAGATCGCTAAGATCGGAGAAAAAAACGAAGGCAAAAGTGAAAGCTGATCATTTTGGACGCGCACTTCAAGCGACAAATGCAGCGTGCCCCTAAGTAGTGCAACTCTCTCCTTGGAAAGCCGACCTACACTCTGACATCGGTAGCAGAGTGCAGTGGAAGGACCCATCTGAAGTTGGACTGCTCCGCAGCCAAAGAACATGGGTGTGATAGTTCTGCAGAGAGGGCCTGTGCCCAACGGACACATAGCTGCAAAGATTCTCCTTCAAGTTTTGATACAGAAGTGCCTCATTCTGAAGGTCACAAGCTGAGGTCCCTTCATCAATCAACGCCAGGCGCAGGCTGGGCCGGAGTCTCAACCTAGCAAAATTTATCCGTTGCTGTTGCCCGAGGGAAAGGAGGCTAGACCAATCTTTGCGATCTGACAGGTCGTACTGCTGCAGAAGTTGGACAAGATTCACCTGCTGAAGTACATGCCTAAGATCATCATCGGACAGCTCCGTATCCTGCTCGCTGCATGGATACAGCAGTTGTTCTCGCAAAGAGCCTGGGAACATGTACGGCTTCTGAGGCACGAAAAAGACATGCTTCATGCAACTCGAAATTGTCCCGGATCCATCTGCCCAAAGCCCCGCAGCGGCTCGCAACAGAGAGCTCTTGCCAATCCCACTCTCTCCAATGATCAAAAGCGACTTGCCACTCAGCAATTCGAACGAAACATGCTGGCACAGTGTCCGTTGGCCGAGCTCAGCATGTAAAGGTGTTTTCAATGTCACTCCTGAAAACTGCAGAAGCACATGCCCACCTTCCGGCAGGTCCCTTGATGCTATACTGCTGGCTCCTACCGATTTCCCTCTTTGCCGGAGTAGAGCCTTCTCCTGTGCACGCCGTAAGGCGTCCAGCAACACTTCCAAACGTCGTGTGCGGACACCAAGGTCTGAGAAAGCGTACAGCTTGTCCATGATCACTGTCATGGAACCTAAGATGACATCAAAAGCCGTTGTGGCCTGAGCGATCACTCCAGCAGGCGCATCACCTGCAGGCTGCTTGCAACAGTATGAAATTCGCTGCAGGCTCTGAGTTAATAGAACGTGTTTCTTGCATATGCTCATGGTCTCCGCTTATCACCTGTGTTGCTACCCGGACTTTCCCCAAATCAAGACGACCTGACGCATTGACCTGACAATGCCTCGGAATGGCTTCTAAAAGCAGCTGCAAACGTAATTGGGACGAATCTGTGCACTACTTGTCATGCCTGTCAGCAACATATGCTACGACCCTGAATACAATAGACATGCACAGGATCTGGCAAGGGAACTTGCACGTTGGTGGGGCCTTCTGTTACCCTGTAGCGTGCCAATACTTTAATATCTCAAGGGTTGGAGTTAAGGAGGGGGCACCTCGCAAAAATGTAGGCCCAACCAGGAGGGGCACCACAGCGAAAGTAGCCCAATGGAATCCGCGATTGTAGATGCTAAATCCTGTTCCGATCCAAATGCTCTTGCGGATGGTCTGGAGGAGGCTCGAGAAAGCTGCATCAAATCTGGTCCACTCTGCCTCACCGCCATGGAAAAATGCCACAGACTCTGCATTCTCGCGGACACGAATTAGATGTGCGCGGAGGTCGGCTTCCTGACGCAGTCGCTGCTCTCGCCAAAAACTGATAACTTGTCCGAAATATGCGAGGGACATCTGTGTCCCGATGATGGAATATATTACTGCCCCGATACATGCCGCTGGAGATATGGAGTACATGATAAATGTGAAGCCACAGATGCTCAGAACTGACCTGATCAGATCTTGCGACAAGTACACCACACCATTTACAAAGTCCTCAATGTCCTGGCAAATCCGCTGATCCGGATTGTCAATCTCACCAGTGATAGTCAAAGTGTAGAAGGGACATGTCTCCACGCCCGGAGAGGCTAGATAGCTCTTGACAAAAGATCTTGTCAGAGATGTGCGCGAGGACGTTGAGAGCAACCAGTTCGCACATTCGTGAAGGCCGATGACAGGGCATATACACAATATCAAGATGCCTGTCTCGTACAAGCCTGAATAAAACGCTTCAATATTCTTCTCCAACAAGCCAGTCATGAACTTCTGCTGCACGTAGCTGTAATAAATTGTTGCACGTATTTCAACCAGCAGAAGCACAACCACAGACATGGCCAAGCCGAGAGTTTGCGTGCCGTGCGTGCTGTCATCAACTGCTGCCCGCATCAAAGTCCAAGCAGCAGGCAATGCAGATCTCCTGATGTGAACATCAGCACGCAGACGTTCCTTCCAGCTTACTGTGTCCGCACGGCCCATGAACACAGGCAACAAGTGGCACTGTGCCCGATGGCATCTCTTGCAGATTAGTTTTGTGTGCAGCCAAAACCAGAGGCATGCTTTGCCAATTTGGTTCGTCATCAGGAACCACAGCTGCAACTTACTGTATGATTTACGCATGCAATCGTTCATCATAAGAATCTTGCGAATCTATCCAACTCTCAGAATCGCGACTGCGCTGCACAAACATGACAAAGCACAGTACGTGGTATGCTATATGTAGCCCTGTGAAAATTCTTGCTTGGCCGTTCAGGCCTTGATCCCAGGAAAATAGTGTGTAACACCCGGACTATGCTGACTTTCCAACATGTAGGGCCTAACGACAGAGGCACAACGCCAGCAACACGGGGATACCTTAGGAGGACCCCACACCCTATAATAGTGACTATAAGGGATAAAAAGGATTGTATTAGGGTCATATTATATTCCTACTATACCACCATTACAGGGGGGGGTCCTCCTAACCTA